ACCCTAATATCCTAATGGACTGACTTTTAACATATTCCAGAATACCAAATATGTCCAGCCAACTGTTTTTGTAAGTAATGTTTTATTGGAATACAATCATACCCATGTTTAAGTATCATCTACGATAGCTGTTGTGATACAACAGCCAAGTTGACTAGTTGAAACAGAGATCATATTGCCTGCAAAGCCTAAGATATTTACTATCTGGACCAAACTATAAAGGCTTCCAAAACTTAAATAGTTGTGTAAGAGCTCTTGGCTTATTATCAGAGCTCTGCTAACTCCTATTAACCAAAATGCTAATGTTTAGCAAAGGTGCTAAACAACTTTCAAGGGCTAGAGAGGTTTAGGGAGGAGTTTGGTGTGATGGGAAAGTGGAGACATTTTAAACTTTCACACCACAGCAGCTGAAGTCACAGCTGATGCCTCAATTGGATATCACGGGACATAGAACTTGTAGCAATCTTTTGAACATATACATTTTTCATACATAAATGAGGGAAGAGATTGGCCTAGATGATTTCTAACTTTTCAATCCTTAAGATTTTTTTTAAATGACTTCAGTAAAACCATAAGCAAGCTCAGATGTATTACAACACAGTATAATGACAAGCATTTCATAGCATCTAAGGGAGCTAGGAAGTATATAATACATTTTTGAAAAAACCATAAAGGAAATGGTTAGAAAGGGAAATGGGGAAGTGTCTTATACTACTCTTGAAACTTTTCTGTAAATTTGAAACAACAAATAAACAATAGAAAAAACAGTTAAAACAATTTAAGTGTTAGCACTTAAAAGGAAAAATTCAATTACCTTCTGCAACATGCAAATTTAACACACTAATTGCCATCACTGATCTGCAAAACATATAAACACTGTCCAGTAAATACACTAAACCAATGTGCCTGAAGCGGTAGACTCTAATTCTGTATCCTAAAGTACGAATTTTACCCTTTGAATTTATCTTACTTTATGGAAAATGATCTAAGTAATAATTAAAGGGATGAAAAAATAATAGGAATAAAAGACCTAGTTAATAAGAAAACTGGATAATCATGATCTGAATGATTATCAGAATGACAATCCTATTTTATCTTTTCTTTGAGAGTAGGAAGCAAACTTACCTGAAACACTTGACTCTCATACAATATATGTACATCTTATAAATTTTATATACACACAGTCTGGAAAGAGATATAATTTTATTTTTTATGAAACATGAACACTAAGCAAAAATTATGCTAACTGAAAGAATGCCTAGAGAGCCACATACATCCATGATGTTAAATATAGAAACTAACTGTAATGAGAATCATTATCTCCAGTTTCCAAGGATACCAGGATAAGTCCTACTCCTAAATTGCAGTTCATTCAGCAAAGGGCACAGAGTAATTTATATTCAGGGTCATCCCTAGCTGACAGCAGCAGATGGAGAAGGAGGACCACAGTAAATCACTCTGTTCTATTCTTTATTTACCCACTCCAATTTCCAGCCTCCTACCCCTATTCTCTGGTATGAACCTTCGACCAACATTTTATAGGTAAAATGCACAAAATCTGATTGCAAATACAATTTTAAAGAGAAAAAGAATCGCAAGGGGCAGGGCAGTCCACAATGCAATTATGTTAGGGGTAGTGGGGATTGTTGGCATTCCAGTTATTTTTGTTTGTGAAAAGGAGAGGACGTTAGTTTTATGTGGTTGTCACGCTAGTTGCTTTCTTTCCTAGTGTTTATAAAGGGATTGCATAGTTCAACATCTTATTCAATCAAGGTATGGGACAGTGGTAGTTCAGGGGTATAATTATCACGGTCCATGTAGGAGATCCAGGATCCTTCCCTGGCTGTCATCCATTACCCATGTGTCAGTGGAGGCTGGTACTTGCTATGATGCTGAACAGGATCCTGCAGAGCTTCCAGATTAAGATGGAATAGAAGGAAAGGCCTGGTGACCTACTTCCAAAAGTCAGCCAATAAACACCCTGTGGATCACTACAGTCTAATCTGCAGTTGATCATGTGGATGGCACAGGACCAGGCAGCATTTCATTCTGTTGTGCATGGGGTAGCCATCATTTGGGGACCAACTCCACAGCAGCTAACCACAACCTAACCAAAGCTATCCAAGATTTCTGAAGTGTACCACTCCTAAACTATGCCATTATTTCTACCTTCATTTTCATTTTTCTCTGTCTTCTAGACAGATGATTTATTATTTGTTTCTATAGCAATGTTATTGTTGTTAGGTACCAAAAAGTCAATGTTTGACTCCTCGTGACCCTGTGTGACAGACTAGAACTGCCACGTACGGTTTTCTAAACTATAATCTCTATGAGAGTAGATCTCCAGTTCTTTCTCCCTTGGAGCAGCTGGATGGGTTCACACTGTCAACTTTTAAGTTAGCAGCCTAATAACCGTGTGTGCCACCAGGGCTCCTCTTCCATAGCAATATAAATATTAAAAACTATTTTCTGACAAACTAGAAGATATTTCCTCCAAGTAAGTTTTTTTTTTTTTTTTTTTTTACTTTTTTTTTTTTTTTTTTTATTGACTACTTTCTATGCAGCAGGCACTGTGCCAGGCCAGGTAGGCAGTGCCAGGAACTAATGCTCAACTTCACTTTCAATCTCTCCAAGATTGGGTAAAGTATCAAGATAAAGCTACATCACTTAGGCAGTTTAAAAAGAGGTATGTTCTCCCTTAATCAAATCTCCACTTACTAAAATAGTAAAGAATACTGAATATACATGGACTGCCAGAAGAAGGAACAAATCTGTCTTGGAAGAAGTACAGCCAGAATGCTCCTTAAAAGTGGGGATGGTGAAATTTCATCTCATGTACTTTGGATATGTTATCAGGAGGGACTAGTGCCTGGAGAAGGACTTCCTGCTTGGTAAAGCAGAGGGTCAGCAAAGAAGAGGAAGTCCCTCAGTGACAGACTGGCACAGTGGGCAATGATGGGCTCAGACATAGCAATGATTGTGAGGATGGCACAGGACCCGGCAGTGGTTTGTTCTGTTGTAAACAGGGTCACTATGGGTCCACTATGAGTTGGAACAAACTAGATGGCACATAACAACAAAAGACTGATGAGGATTTTGTGGATACTTTAGATATGCTTTAAACTTAGAGAAAGTCTACATAAAAATATGATTGAGATATAACAGTAATTTTCTATTTAGTTTGGCTCTTCACCTTCTCCTAACAACTGTCTACCAAATATATTGAGACCTCCCATGTAGCCCCTCGGCTGGATTCAGAGGCATTGAAGGGAAGAAAAGCACTCCTTGTCTTTAAACACTCCTTGCCTGATGGACATGAGACACTGCACTAGACTAAGCTTCTTAACTTAATGTTATCATTTAGAACAATAAGCTGCCTATTTTTATAATCAAGGCTTTCTAAGTCTTCCCTCCTTTGCACCAATTACATTAATTGAAACTGTTCACTTTTTTAAGAGGGTGAAGGTATAAAACACAACAAAGATCCCTACTAGTTATGTAACATTGTGTGTGTCTCAGCAAGGCAAGCTATTTGATGTTGAAAGTTAATACAAAAATTACAAAATTATTCTGAAAGCTTTCTCTACTCATTTTATATGGCTTGAATATTACCTATCTAGATCTATTGTCTTGTAGATTTCTACACTGCCCAAGCCCCCTCCCCTTTTATTTTTTTTAAACAGCAAACAGGCTAATTTTTTGCACTAAAAGATTGTTACTGTTGCACTAAATAATAATAGTAAAATTAAAAACCATACGAAATCAGTAGTATTAATTCCCTTAAAAGTTATGTCATTAATTATTTTACTCTATTATCCTGACACCTATTTCTCATGAGGGGCAACAACTTGAGATAAGACTGTTGCAGACAACATTCCACGTCTGGATCTTGGAAGCTTTGAAAATGTTTGAGTTGGAGAGATTCAGCTTGTCCCACCCAAGGCTAGTGCTTGGTATGGCAAAAAATGTAGACAGTTTTATAGGTGGAACACCAAACACAACATTCACAGGGTCACTGGCAGAAAGGTCCTCCTCTATTTCAACACCTTTTCTCATAGGCCAGATCGGTTTTCACAAAACCTCTGAAGGTAGAAGCCAGCCTTCATTAAAGGACATAATTGCACTCACTAGTTATACAAAATCAACTTCCCCCTCTCCCCCCACCCCCAGCGTTAAACATACCCTTACCCACCAATGCAAGAGCCTAAAACTTGGACTTGGACCACGTGGCTCTTCGAACACAAAAACCTCAGATGGTCACCCCCTCCCCCCATTATTCTTACATCTAAATTATGGTCTTGTATATTGCACATGTCTTTGAAAATACTTTCCAGTATCTCTACTTCACCCTCGCCCTTAAACTAGAAAGTATCCAACTGACAATCCTCAAATCTTAAAGGCAGCAAAAACGCCCCTGAGCGCTGTCCACAATAAAAGTGGATTAAGGACAACCAGAAAGACGCCCGAGGCCGAGGCTATCAGGCCCGCGAGAGTTTGGCGCAGCTTGGTTTCTGGGCCCAGCCTCGAGTCCTCCAGCCCCCAGCTCAGCCGCCCTGGACTCACGTCTCCGAGGAGGGTGCTGGCAGAGGAGACCACAGTTCTCCTGGGTGCTGTCCTGCCCAGCTAGGGGGTGTGGCTGGGGTGGGGGCTGGCTAGGCTTCTAGTGAGTTGGGGGTGGCGGCATCCTAACAGGACAGTTGTCACAGGGAAAGCAAGGATAGCGAGAAAGGAAGGAAGCTGCCCAGAAGCTGCTTTCCGCCGCGGTGCAGCGGAGATCCGGCACAGTTGGCAGTGCCCGGGGCGCAGGGGTATCTCCGGAGTAGGAAGAGACTGTGTGCGCCCTGGTTCCCCGAGTCCTGGGACTGTCGGGGCGGGCTGCTTAGTATGTGAGCAGGAAAGCTGTTGACAGGACAGTGCCCCCTCTCTGGGGACCAGTGGGCTGGGCTCGAGTGCAGGTTGCGTGGGGGTCGCAGGGCCCTGGGGGTGGGGGGAGCACTCACCTATGCAAAGCTGGATGGCGTAGGCATAGTAGGACCAGCCCAGCAGGAGGCCGATGAACGCGACCGGGATCCAGTACAACACCCGCCGGCACCGCCGTCTGACGCTGCCCGGGCCCGAGGGCGCCATCTTCCAGCCGCAGCCACCTGCCCAGCTCCGCCGTCGCCACCGCCGCTTACCGGCCTGACTTCGGGGCGGACTGGCCGCGCCCGGCGGCCCCGACGAAACTGGCCCGGGGGTGGCGGCGGGTTGCTCAGCGGCCACTGCCGCCACCGTGGCGCTAACTCCCCATCCCGCAGCCCCGAGCCAGCGCCGCGGACTCTTGGCTTCTTAGCCTGGCGGAGGCGGGGGCTGCGAGAGGAGGACGGCGGAGGAGGCGGGAGCCGCCGCTCCGCCCCCGCCCTGTCCCCCCCCACCCCTCCAGCTGCCTCCCCCCGGCGCGGCCGACTGCGCCCTCGGGCTGGCTTTCGGAGGACCAGAGCTGTCCTGGGGCCCTTCCAGCCCGTGCGTGCCTCGCCACTGGGCACCTCAGGGGCGCGCACTGTGGGTGTGAAGGTGCCCACTTTGCCCGGTTTGACCCTGGATCCGGGTGAACCGGCAGAGGCGGATGCTGAGGCACTAGTCCGCTGCGGGTGCTCGGCGTGGGGCTACAGACGAGGCAGGCCCCTCCCTTGGCGCCCGCAACTCCAGGCACTTGATGGCTGGATCGCCCCACTTTGCGCTAAGGCTCACCCGGTGGAGGGGAGGACGTTAGTTGTCTCCGGGGCGGGGGTGACAGTCTGATCCAGGAAGCAGGGTTTCTGCTGACGGGACCCTCTACCGCCCAGGGCCAGTGGGGAGCTACTTGCCCACCCCGATAAATGCGCCATTAAAAGTCTTAAGGCCAATGTCCCCGCAACGTGCTTAGAAAATTCTTACTACAACTTGTCGCTCCTGGGTAGGCAGGCGGAAGGCAGCGAGGGCGGGGCCGGTTTTCCACACCTGTGAAACAATTATGTTTGGGCTATATTTTGGGAATCGGACACACCACTTAGAGGGGTTACGGAGCGGTTTTCTGCCAGGGAAAGAGACTGTGGAGCAAAGAAGAAATTAGAAACTGTTAGGGTTAGAAGCACAATTTTTTTTTTTTTTCTTTACGCTAAGAATTTTAACTCTTATGTTAAATTATTTAGTGGTTGTAAGAGTAACCGTTCTCATCCGCCCTCCCACGAGCTCAGTGGTTCCTTCCATGTACTCTTCCTCAAGTCAATTTCCCCGTCTGTTTTCTTTCGTGGTGGCAATTTTAACTTAGTATGTAGTTTTTGGTTTTTTGTTTAAATATATATATATATTTTTTTTTTTTTCCTTATGTTTCCCCCTGAAAGTTTACACATTTAGGTTCCCATTTAGCAATTTCATGTAGTTGGTTTTAAAGTGGTTCCTAAAAACCATGCAAGAGATCCTAAAAGTAGTTAGAACAAATCCCTGGTTTGATGATTGATATAAAGGAAAAAAACCCCTAACATTTCTGAGATTTTCTTTTCCACTTTCATCCAATCATGAATGCACTGATTCCACAAAGAAACACCTAAAGTAATGTAATATATTTGAATAATATGCATTATATATATATATATATATATATATATATATAATGGGAGGATCTAGTGGGACAGTGCCTAAGGCATTGAGCTGCTAATTAGAAGGTCAGATGTTCAAACCCACAAGACACTCTGTGGAAGGCAGATAAGGCAACCTGCTTCCCTAAAGATTTATTGCCTCAGAAACCCAATGGGTGTCATTATGAGTCAGAGTCAATGGCAGTGGGTTTATATATCGTGGGCACAATTTTACTTCACACTATAACCATGTTGAAGGAAATATGTTTATTTGTAGATAAAAAAATAATGAAGTACTGATTTGTATGCAGTCAAAGAAATCTAAGATTCTATGTCTTTGGGATTATCTCTCTGTGACTGGATTAAACAGTAAACTAATCTTTCCTTAAATAGCTACTATAATACACACAAATGCCAAATCTCTTTTATAGTTCATCCTCAAATAGTTACCAACTAAAAAAATGCATAGAAAATATCAGTTAAGTTTCTGTGGGACTTAAATTGGAACCAGAAAATTTCTATCCTAGAGAAATATCTATTTATTTATTTATAATGCTTTATTTTCGTGTAGCACATTATACTCTTACTTTACTGGGTATTTTGTGGGGTACATTAGTTCAAAAACGAAACATCCTGAAATCCTCAACTTTTCTTGACCTCATGCTACCAATCACAAGAGACTGAAAAAACATTAAAAAGTTCATATCAGGAGTACAAGGACACTGGTGTGTCAGTGGCAGAATTTGTGCCTTCCATTTGGAGACTTGGTTTGATTCCTGGCCGATTCACGACCTCTATCAGTCATGTTTTGTATTTTGCTATGATGCTGGACAGGTTTCAACTCAGCTTCCAGACTACTATAGACTAGGAAGAAAAGCCTGGTGATCCACTTCTGAAAATCAGCCAATGAAAATGCTATGAATCACAAAAGTCTGATCTGTAATCCATCAATGCCTATGATGCAAGACTGGGCAGCATTTCATTTTGTTTGGTTGTATATTGGGTCATCATGAGTTGGGGGCAACCCAGAGGTAGCTACCAACAACCAGGACTGAGATCATCTCACAAAGATGAGCAAATCAGCCATTGAAGGTCAATATAAATGATTGAGGAATGAAATGTCAAATAACCACATGGGAACCAGTGCAAATTGGAGAAAGTGCAAATTGTGCCTCTTTAGACACATGCCCTTTATTGCCCTATATAAACAATGCCCTATATTGCTTCTCTTCTGAGTAACAGTCTTACAGACTGGTAAGTCTATACATTGTTCACATCTTCACTTTCTTGGAAAATACACAAGTGTAACTATATTTTTCTTATTTGTCTAAAATGTTGTTTAATTTTTCATACTTACAACACAGTGAAACTTGTGAGAGCTGGAACTCTGAGACTGCCTTGTTTTTCTGTGTCTCACAAGTTTTCTGCAATCTTACCATTTCTGTCACTTGTTTTAGTGGAAAATATTTGAATTTTCCTTCTCTGACAGGTTTCTGCCTAACAGAGGTTGTGACTTTTACAGGTTCCACTGTAAATATTTATGGAATAACTTCAACCCATATTTAGCCATTTTAAGGATACTACTTACTAACATTGAATTCTGCAAAAATATTGCTCTTATCTTAAAAAAAAAAAAAGAATATCTTAAAAAAGAAAGAAAGAAACTCTATACAGAAGAATCGTCTCAAAGCCTAAGATGACAGTTTATCTCTGCATAGTCTCTAAGTAGACAGGCATAAGCATGAACACACCAATGTTAGCTCTTTGGTGAGTAGCCAATCTTTAGAAGCCAGGCTTTGATGAGAGTGGAAGAATAACTTTTATTTTTAGGAATAGAGAGCCTTTGATTTTTTTCCCCCTTATTTAGGGTTGTTCATCCCCAGGAAAACAACTGGAAGATTATACACAATTAAGAAGAAACGTCACTGGAGATTCACTCTTTAGTGAGAAATACAAAAGGTTTAACATACAGATTTTAATTTTAGATATTCTATAATTGCAAGAAATTGTGAGTTTCATGTAATAACTCTGATAAAACTATTATGGCCACTTAAGAGAGAGTTTGCCACAGCAAAGAGAGGATGAGGGCAACACTAGGAAAAGAAGAGAGAAGAGGACAGCCTGGGTCAGAAGGAGGGTAAGGGGAGTATCTGGGAAGGGGAGAAAGACTCCCTTACTTGTAAGTCCACCCAGTTCCTAAAACTCCTAATTCCATTCTCCCTAGGGCTTTGCTGGACGCTCCACCCTCTCCAAAGTTTGTCAAAGTTATTTGCCCCTCAAAATTTCAAATCCTCTATTGTCAAACATGCTTCCATGAAGGAAGCTTAATGTTCCTCCTTTAGCTAAGATCTAATTTATATATTTATTTTTAATTATTTTTTTAATTCCAATCCCCACAATGTAACAGCTCTCTTTCTACTTCTTCCCTGTTGTTACCTTTTCCCTGTATTCTTTCCTGTACATCCCTCCCTTCTGAGCTTTCTACCTGCACAAGCACTAACTACCCTTCTGATCTCCCATGGTTGATTGATCTAAGGAATGGGAGAATGAAGTAGTTTTAAGACACACTTTTGGTCTCAGATATTTATAGTTTGCAAGTAAGCTGAAATGGAGAGGAATAAAATGGAAGGTATAAGGATGCCTCAAGAAGCCCTGGTGGTACAGTAGTTAAGCACTTGACTGCTAACCGAAAGGCTGGAGAAAGATATGGCAGTGGGCTTCCATAAAGATTTATAGCCTTGGGAACCATACAGGGCAATTTTACTCAGCTGTATAGGATTGCCATATCATTAATATCACATGCAAGTAAGATCTTACTGAAGATAATTCAGAAACGTTTGCAGCAGTATATTGACAGAGAACTTCCAGAGGTTCAAGCCGGATTCAGAAGAGGACGTGGAACAAGGGATATCATAGCTGTTGTCAGATGGATCTTGGCTCAAGGCAAAGAATACCAGAAAGAGGTTTACTTGTGTTTTATTGACTATGCAAAGGCATTTGATTGTGTGGATCATGACAAATTATCGATAACATTGAGAAGAATGGGAATCCCTGAGCACTTGATTGTACTCATGAGGAATCTGTACCTTGACCAGGAGGCTGTCGTTCGAACAGAACAAGGGGACACTACATGGTTTAAAATCAAGAAGGGAGTGTGTCAGGGTTGTATTCTGTCTCCACACTTATTCAATCTATATGCTGAGCAAATAATCCGAGAAGCTGGACTATATGAAGAAAAACGTGGTATCAGGATTGGAGGAAGAATCATTAACAACCTGAGATATGCAGAGGATACAACTTTGCTTGCTGAAAGTGAGGATGACTTAAGGCACCTACTGATGAGGGTTGAAGAATACAGTCTGCAGTATGGATTACATCTCAACATAAAGAAAACAAAAATCCTCACAACTGGACCAATGAGCAGCATCACAAGAAATGGAGAGAAGATTGAGGTTGTCAAGGAATTCACGTTGCTTGGTTCTACAATCGATGCCAACGGAAGCAGCAGTCAGGACATTAGATGATGTGTAGCATTGGGAAAGTCAACTGCGAAGGAACTGTTTCAAGTGCTGAGGGGCAAGGATAGCTCATTGAGGACTAAGGTGCACCTGACACAAGCCATGATATTTCCAATCGCCTGGTATGCATGTGAGAGCTGGACAATGAATAAGGAAGACCGAAGAAGAGTTGATGCTTTTGAGTTGTGGTGCTGGCGAAGAATGCTGAAAGTACCGTGGACTGCTAAAAGAACTAACACATCTGTCCTGGAGGAAGTGCAGCCAGAATGCTCCTTGGAAGCAAGAATGGCCAGACTCCGTCTCACCTATTTTGGTCATGTTATAAGAAGGGACCATTCCCTGGAGAAGGATGTCATGCT